TTAAGTGCTGCTAGAGTTTGAGGAATGTACCTGTAACCTAAATTTTCTTGAGAGACACTGCAGGACACTCGATAATCATTGCTTTCACTTCCCCCGTAAAAGCGAATTTTGGGGTTCTTCGAGACCACCACACTGTTCAGAGACTCGTTACGCTGTGAATTTGCCACAGGTGCAAATTTGTTGATAACAAAGTCTGTGCTATATTCATCAAAGAGAGACTTCTGGGCTAATTGAAGGCTATCTCCCCTAAGGTCTTTACCAAAGGGAAGATCTCTGTGACAATAATGTGAAGGGTCTTTCTTGTGCCGACACCATGTTTCTCTACAACCAGAGTGGTCACAAAATGCATGAGGCACAATGCTTTGAATTGCAAATTTCATGTTTGTAGCAGCCCCTTTGTTTTGTGCAATACAGTATGTAAAGGACTTGACAAGGTAATTTATGACTTTCTGTGACAACACCGAACTGTTGGGAAACTTACTTCGTTGGCTCAAGTTGTATGGGCGTGTTGTAAGGGATCTTTTTATGTGAACTGTGTCACTCCATTTTTCCACACCGTAGGGTACCTTTGCTTTAGGTGAGATTCAGTTGTTGAATCATCATATCCAGAGTAAATTGAAAATCTGACATTTGATTCAGTTACCTTATCGAAAACTTCGACTGCAGTTTAAGGTTCCTTTGACTTTGAAGAGTCCGAATGATTTTTTCTACAGTCGTGGTCTTTTGGTTGTTTTCCCCCCTTTTTAGCTTCATCACAGGAGCGGCACATTTTATTTTTCGTTGTGTAGTCAAGGACCTTTCCAGTTGAAAGGCCCATGATGTCCGGTATTAGAGTTGAAGCTTCGCCCCCGTTTCTGCCACCTCATGTCGTAAGAACAGGCAATGGGTACCAAATTGTTCTCGTCCGGCTTGTTACAATTTTCGATTGCCTTCTCTCGTTCACGGTTTGAAATTGTTGGCAACTATTTTTGGCTACTAGTACCATTGCCTTTCCAGCTTCCCTTTCCCGATTTTTAAAAGTTGATAAGTTCATTGCAGGCACATTGAGGGTTGAAAGTAAATTGTTTAAATAGGTGTTGCCCACTCCTGTATGTAAACAACCAAGGGCAGCTCTCGTGTTCACATCAAAGGTCAATGGACCACTTGCACCGGACCTGTGCTGTTTTGATGTTTTAATGGTGTTTTCTGCATTGCATTGGCTGCATAGAACAGTAAATGTGCTTGCTAAACCATTTTGTTGTTCTTCAATAACATTGCCAAGGGACAAAGGGCCTGAAAATATTGTAAAATACACTGAAAACTAATAGGGAAAAAGGACTCCATCCACAATATTTGTTATGTTTTTTTATATGATAATGGTGTATGGTGCAAAATAAACTGACCATGTGATTTCTGAAGGGGGCAAACAACTTCAAATCCAGAAATTTTAGCCAGGTTTTTTGTATTGTGATGAATTTTCTTCAGATTTGCTGTTTGCTTATGCCGTTGCACTACATGGTACACTTGAAAAAAAGAGATTTTTAGCTGTTTTGAAAGATAACTCCTTGTGCCACTAACACGTCAATGGCATACAGAGTAATCTTTCCTAACTTGTAACAAATCCATTATAGTTGTCTATTATCTGACACTCCAGTGTGCTTTTGAGAAAAATACGGGAGTATGAGGTTAAGCTGATTTCCCAATAATTTGCATTGTTTGCTCTCTGGAAGACCACATGGCTAATTTTGGTTGTAATAAGGGACCAATCTTTGGCGATAATTATCTGGTGCTTCGAGTCATCATGTAGAAGTGCTCTGCTTAGACGTCCACCGATACGAAGAAGACCGTTCACCAAGATCGGGTCCGATTTTGCAAGCACCCTTGACTTCTTCACGCAGTTCCCTTTCTCGATGGCTCTTCTTTCTTCTGCGAAGGCACGACTCTGGTCAAACAAGATTACTTCCCTCTCTGCATCATTTATCTCTAAGCAGGTCAAAGGCTCCAAACTGCCTACTTGGGAACTTCTGTCAAAGCCGTCTTGCCTAGACTTCCGTTTCCTGGTAATAAATCTCCTTTGACACCGAAGACAAAGCGCGATGAACTTCAACAACTTGAGCCAGGATGAGAACCGCTGGACCATAGAAATGACTTTTGACTGAATCTCACTCGGACGCGCGTCGATAACAAAGAATTTTGACTCTCGTTTCACCTCGGGTCATCACCAGACAGCTCTGTACTGTGTTTGGGTAGGGTAACCCATTCGGAAGGAGGCTTTAAAAGGAATTCCGGCCCCTTTATCCATCGGTCATTTCGAATGAACGTATCTGCAGAAGTTCCTCGTGAGGCATCGTCGACTGGATTAGACTTCGATTCTGTGTATCTCCATTGTGAGGGACTTGAATCTTCTCTAATGATAGCAACACGGTTAGCGACGCAAGCGTGGAAGCGTTTGGACTCATTCGCAATGTAACGTAGGACAGTCATGCTGTCAGTTCAGAAGGTGATTTTAGCTATTGGAATTTCCAGCTCATTCTTCAACAACTTCTTTAGACGAACTGACACAGCTGCGGCTACTAATTCCAATCTTGGAATACTCATCTGCTTCAAAGGGGCGAGGCGGGATTTTCCAACCAGAAAGGAGTAATGAACCTGACCATCTAAATTAACTTGCCGAAGATGTGAGACAGCTCTACAAGCGCACTGGGAAGCATCGTAGAAATGATGAATTTCAGTGATTATTACTTCTCCCAGATCGGCTCCCTTAACACATCTTTTCAGTGGGAGCTTCGGCAGATCAGCAAGCCACGCCTGCCAACGAGATAAGTGTAAACACGGAATTTCATCATCCCAACTGAGGCCTTTTCTGCATAAGTCCTTTGCTGGGAGAAAGAAGGGTGCAGCCATGCCGAGCGGATCGTAGACTGAACTAACGCCCGAGAGAATCCCACGCCTGGTACAAGGTTTCTCCTTAATGTCCACTTTGAAACCGAACGCATCCGTCTCGACAAACCATGACACGCCCAAAGCTCTCTCTGTAGGAAGTGTATCGCATTCAAGATTAAGCTCCTTCACATCTTTTGCTCTTTCTTCCAGTGGAATAGACTCTAAGACTTGTCGATCACTGCTCGCCCATTTAGTCACATTGAATCCACCAATCAACATAAGTTTACGTAAATCACCCACATGCTTGACTGCTGCAGAACTCGACGATAAGGACTTCAGGCAGTCGTCAACATAAAAATTCCTTAAGATCGTATTAGCCACGTCGGGTGAGAATTCGTGCTTGTGGTCTTCCGCGTTCCATCGCATAGCAAAATTGGCACAACTCGGCGATGAAACTGCGCCGAAAAGATGAACAGTCATCCGGTACTCTTCCAGCTTCTTGGTGAAGTCACCTTTGGGCCACCAGAGGAATCGCAGGACATCTCTATCTTCTTCCGGAACGCGCACGTGGTGAAACACTGATTGAACGTCACCAATTACGCAACTGGATCCTGGTGAAAACGAATCAAGACACCAACTAGACTGTTAGTTAGGTCTGGTCCTTGGAACAGCTCGTTGTTTAGAGACGTCCCATGAAACTGGGCGGAACAGTTGAAAACCACCCCTATTTTATTCGGCTTCTTATAATGGTAGACACCGTGGTGTGGAATAAACCACACCTTACCATCCGATCTATCCAGAACATTCTGGGGTGCCTTCTCTGCGTAACCTACACTGATAACCTATTCTAGGAAAGCAACATAGTCCTCACGATGTTTCGTATCACTGGAAAGCTTGCGTTTGAGGTAAGAGGCACTTCGTTCAGCCTGACTCCTATTTACTGGCATTTTCATGGTGAGGTTCCTTAACGGCAGTGAAACCTGGTAATGTCCATCTGCACACTGCACAACCGAGTCCTCTACAATGTTCATAAACTTGAGGTCATCCCTTGACATACTTAGGACCATCGGAGTAAGGTGCATCCACGAGATCAGTACAAGCTGCACACATAGGATGAGTCTCCTTAGACGTAACGAAGAAACTAGGTACATACTTCTGCTTTGTCCCAGTTGGACCGTTGATGACCCAGCCGAGGTCAACTCTGGTTGCATATGGACTTCCATCAGCAGCAGGGATTATTTCTCTCGGCTGCAAGGCTTCAGGAACATCGGCTCCAATCAATAAATCCACGTCAGAATTCAGATCGGTTACGTACACATGGTCCTGAAGGTGAGACCATCGCTCAACATCCTCTTGCTTTGGGGTTTCGTCCCTACCTACGGGCATACCTGGTCTAGAAAGTACTTCAGGCAGGAGTATGGCAACATTTTCCTCCAGATCAGATACCACCAGGTCGTTAACAAGAGCAGTGTCTACACCTTTACTGCTATCCATGGTGGTTAGCTTCAGTCTCGTCTTCTTGCCGACGACCATTAGACGCTCCATCAGGTTAGCTGAACAAAAGGTAGAATTGAAACCATTGTCCAGTAACGCGTAAGTATCGATGCACAGAGGACTTCCTTTAACTTTGACCTTTACAGCTACTATAGGCAACGCAGTAACGGGGAACCTTCCATCGTGGTTAGGCCGCAGATGTGATCACCAGTGCTCTGGTTCGTGTTCTGGACAGTGTTCGACTGGCTGTTCAAAGATTGAGGTCTGCGTTCTCCCCCCTCAGTTCCAACAAAGCCTTGCTGTGTTCCGACTCCAACAACAACTTCCGGGGTACCTGGATGCAACACAGTGGCATATTTCCTATCACAGTAATTACAGGGTTTCTTTTTGTAGCAACCTTTGGACTGGTAGCCGCCACTCAAGCAAGAAAAGCAAAGCCTCTGCTTCATTACGAAGTCGTGTTGATCAGCATCGGGCACTTGGGCGAAACCGGNCTCGATAATCTTCCGCATACAATCCGGGCTTTCAAACTTGCTGGAGTAACCAATAGCTTTAAGAGTATTCATACAACTGGCCAGCAAAGTGGCGAAACCTTCTAGAGCTTCGGCGTCTTCGGCCTTAATAGCAGGACCATTCGTCACTTTATCCACATAAGCCATTGCAATTTTATGCTTCTGACCGAATTTACTCTCCAAAAGCTTCCTTGCCTTTAGGTAGCCTGCTTCAACATTCATGTAGAGACAGCTGCGCACTAACTCCTGGGGTCTGCCAGCCGTATGCTGTTCTAGGTAACAGAGTCTTCCGGCATAATCGGACCCTCTAGTCTCGATCACAGTTTCAAAGGCACAAATGAAGGTACAATACTCCAGCGGGTTGCCAGTAAACATGGGTACACGTCTCCTTGGGAGCGAGTTTCTTTGTTGTTGGCTCACAAACTCTTTCATGACGCAATTCTGTTGTGCGAGAATATCATAAGCCATGTTGGTCAGTCCAGATTTCTCGGAGCCCAAGCTTGAACCGCTTGCAACACTCGCCTGGTCGATAGCCGCCAAATTGACACTTGCTTTAACTGATCCTTGCTCGTTTTTTCCAGAAGGCACAATCTGTGAACTTTTAATGTCACCAGTCCACGTGACCTTGGTGTTGGAGGACACATCTGGAACATCAACACCAGTGTTAGAGGCCGGCACTATGTTTGGAACAAAGTTTCCTGTTTGTGCTTGGGCATAAGCTTCCTCTCTAGCCAGAGCCTTAGCGTATTCCGTTTTGAGGTTCAGCTCATATTTCCTCAGCTGAAGCTCGTACTCTTGACGTTTGAGGAGTAGCTCCATCTCCTGAAGAGAATGGCGCTGACTTAAAGCAAGTACCTCNACTAAACACGGGTACACGTCTCCTGGGGAGCGAGTTTCTTTGTTGTTGGCTCACAAATTCTTTCATGACACGATTCTTTAGCACAAGAATGTCATAAGCCATGTCACTCAGTCCAGATTTCTCGGAGCCCAAGCTTGAACCACTTGCAACGCTCGCCTGGTTGATAGCCGCCAAATGGACCCTTGCTTTAACGAATCCTTCCTCGTTTTTTCCAGAGGGTACAAACTGTAAACTTCTAACGCCGTTGGTCCTCGTCACCTTGGTGTTGGAGGACACATCTGGAACATCAGCACGAGTGTTAGATGCCGGCAGTTTGTTTGGAACAAAGTGCCCTGCTTCTGCTTGGGCATAAGCTTCCTCTCTAGCCAGAGCCTTAGCATATTCCGTTTTGAGGTTCAACTCATCTTTCTTCAGCTGAAGCTCGTACTCTTGTCGTTTAAGGAGTAGCTCCGTCTCCTGAAGAGAATGGCGCTGATTTAAAGCAAGTACCTCGGCTCGAAGTTCGGCGATCCAGGTTGCTTCTTTGGCTCTTACAGCTGATATAGAGCTTGTTTTAGAGAGCCTGCTTGACCTAGATCAACACTCAGAGGGTTTAGGCTTGTTTCGAAGACCAATTCCAACTTGAGAAGCACTGTCTTACTTGGTTATCCAACTGAAGATTCGTTTCCGTAACCCGTAACCAATCGTTTATCGTTCGACAGAAGAAATCTATACTGCTTTCGATTTCAGCGAAATAGACCTCTGATTCTTGCCTTTGACCTTCGTCAGTCAAAGCCCCATTATACGCGTGCTGGGCTTCAGCAAACGTACGAAACGAAGGCGTAATTTCCGGCAGCTTTATTTTCACTGCTTCCAAATTCGCTGTCATCGGTTGCAAGGTTGTCAATCGCTCTCCGTTTAGCAGATAAAGAAGATAACACTCCTCCTCTGTTCTTTCTTAGTGCTCGAATTCGTTCACGTGGCGCTCCTTCGTGATCCAAAGAGGAGTTAGGTTTAGGAAAACGTGCGCTTGTGCGTTGAACAGTTGACCGCTCTTCCCTGCAGAATTCGACGCATTAACAACCGCAGCATCGGAAGACATCATGATAGACCATACACACAAGCCCTTATTCGCCTTTTACAAATATTGTCGCACAAGCTTATTCCACGTATCCAAATCTTGCCATAGCAATTTAATTCCACCCAAACGTAGATTGAACGCGGTAACTGAAAATAACAAAATTGCAAACACGTGACTGAACATAAAATAACTAACAACGACCGAATATGATGAATGCAGAAAAACTGCAAAGCGAAATAAACGAGGAAACTTACAACACGAATTGTGACGAACCCAAAAACCAAAGACGAACTGTAAAACTGAAGCAAATCCAAACAAGGCGTATACAGAAACTAAAATCGCTACTGACTAAATAAATTACGCGCGAACCGAACACAGAGTATGCACATGAACATAACATGTACAAAAGGCCACAAAACAAAGGCAACTAATTACGCGAAAACTTGACACCGAATACGAAGCTATGACAAAAAATTCTGGCGCCTACACGGGTTCTGGTGGAAAACATGGGGTCTGGTGGAAAAACCCACTAGGTCTGGTGGAAAACACGGGATCTGGTGGAAAACACGGGGTCTGGTGTCTGGTGGAAAACCCACGAGGTCTGGTGGAAAACACGGGGTCTAAGTGCAAAACGGGGGGTCTAAGTGGAAATTACGGGGTATAGTAAAAATGGGAAGTCGAAATTTTGTTAGTTAAATTTGTAATGAAAATCAACTCAGCATCTCGGCGTGAAACGCGTTTCTCAAGCATTTCGTGAGAAAGAAAACCATTCAAGAGCCAACGTCCTGTGCAGTGGTTTTCTTTTGCATGGGGCGTCCATTTTATTTTTCGCAGTAACTTGCATGGATCTTTTTTTACCTTTATAATAGCAATATTAAAATAACAAATATTGTTTTGTTTAGTATCTTTAACCATGAAAAGCGACTGTTGCCATATTTGCTCAATTAAAAGCCGGTTATCTGTAAGTAGCACCCCAAGAAATGGCAACAAAAATTACCATAGAATATAAGGAATAAACAAATAAAGTATTCCTGGCCCAGCCGGGCCAAATTTGGAACAAAAGCTAAGGGGGTTTAAAGGGTTATTAATCGAGAAAATACAGTAACCTTTTTGAAATGCCAGTTCCAAAGTAAATTCTGGTGTTCTTTCAAATAAAACAGAAGTCGGCGCAGTACTGTGGTTAGTAGCGTTAATTTCAGCGCGAATAATCCCACTGTTACGAATGTGGATTTCGTTTTTGGTGTCTCCTTACACAGTTTACAAAAAAAAAATGTTGTTCTAGTGAAATCAAAATGTTATTTCCTTTACCTCAACTATCGACTGGGACCTCACTAGCGATTCATAAATGATCAGTCTCCAGGTTTACAATTATTTCTGTCGTATGGTACATTAGGGACCGGTCATTATTTATCGCCNCCAGACCCACCAGTTAGCAGCAGCAGCCGGCCTATTCCATACTGTTGGCAGTATAAGGAATCAGATTCCTACCGGTGGAGCAACTTCGGCCACATCGATAATGTTGCTTTTGAAAAGCTGTTCTGTGACGTAGAAAATCTCCAAGTGAACGTAGTCCTTAAAGATACCAGTTCTTTGAGGTGAGAGGAAATAATATAACCTCTAGCTATGAACTCTTGGAAATTTCACTTGGGAGATATCATCTCATGATCTGATATTTCCCAGTTTTGGCTGCATCGTAATACTTAAGATAAAATCAGTCGCTTTCCTTGACTTGCAGGCTTTCACGGTGCCATTTTCTATTTCAGGGGATTGAATTTATCATCAGGACAGGTGACTGTCAACTTTGAACACAAGTTCATGCAGTTCGGCTCTTCTGCCCAGTTCTTGCTACGCCGCCTCTCTACACCGTCTTACACTAAATGGGTGTGGTACTGGAAAGACGATGACGGATGGAAGAAGTACGCTAAAACGAGGGTAGATACGATTCTCCTCTTACTTTTATTCAAGACTGAGGGACCGGTCATTATTTATCGGGGGGGGGGGGGGGGGGGGGGGGAGGATTTTTAGGGGGTATCATTGGATTTTTTGGATGACAGAAAGGGGAATCAGTCATAATTGAGGGCCCAAAAGGGGGATCACTAAATGTCA